GCTGTCCCCTCTCAGGGGACATCGGAATTCTAGCATATCACTCAGATGTCCCCTCTCAGGGTACATTGCAGTTTATTAGTCATTACGGGGAATTGAGTTATTTCAACGCAACTTTTTGAGACATGCATGTTTCCCTGAAGTTTTATCTTGAAATGGCATAAGAAATTAAATCAAAATATCGTAAAATCTGGCAGCGGCTGGGCCCAGAGCAGCCGGGCCCAGAGCAGCCGGGTTGGGTGCGGCCAGGCCTGGAGCAGCAGCAGCCAAGTCCAGAGCAACTAGGTCGGGAGCGGCAGTGACCAAACCCGGAGCGGCGGATTGTGGAAGACCAGAGCAACAGAGGCCAGGCCCGTAGCAGCCAGGCCCAGAACAGCTCGCTCCTCGCCTGCCCCTGCCCCATGGCTGCCTCTCAGACATGGCTGGAAACTTTTGCAGGAACTTGAGGGTCTGCTGAATCAAGTGATGAAGGCTTATATCTGGATGTGTTGAGTTAGTTTAGGGCTGGGGTGTTGATCTGTGAGTGCTTTGGTTGGGGCCTGGATGAGGCTAGTTGACCTATTGGGAAATGTCTTTTGTGTGAAGTGTATCCTTGGGCATGTGGAGGTATTATTGATCTGAGAAAATGCTAAGTAACTGATTTACTATCTGAAAAGGGATTTACTATCGGGGAAAGGGAGGGAGGAAGAGACTGAACATAAACTGTGCACCTATGGATGAGGACAATGGGGGATGGAGAGGGGGAGGGTGGGGTGGGAACCTGGTGGAGGGGGGAAGAAATGAGGAACCTTTGTAATAATATGAACAATAAAGATTGATTTAAAAAAATATATCGTAAAATTACTAAGATATATACAAGAAATGTCAGCGGGTTTTGTGTCGGACGAGAACGTGAGATGCGTGCTCACGACGGTCCCAGCACTTCGCGACGCCACTTGAAAAGAGCGATAAGGGGAGTTTGTAGAAGAAAGGTCGGTTTTCGAACATAGCGCGCACTGTATAGTGAGACATATAATTACAAATAAACAAGTCTACATCTGGAGGAAAAGATTTTCAAAGCTGAGCTCATTTTGGTTTGAAGCTTCGAGCAGTGCACATAGATCTAACGAGTGAGAAAATCGGAAAAGTGATTCTTTTCTTAGTGAATAAATTGTTTGGTGAAAGCTATTTTGGTAAATATCATCTTGTCAGTTAGTAATAACAATTAGAAACTTATGCTGTGCAAAATTATAAATAAAATATTGGTTTTTTGCAAATATACATTCCTTGATGTCACCCAATTCATATAAGTCCAATATCATTATAATACGTTACTTGGTTCCAAAATTATACTAAATATGAGGGTCTGTAAATGCAGGTTTCCGCCGCAAAGTAGCGTCGAGAGTAGCTGGTAGCCAATGTCCAGAATGGTTCGGAGTGCAAAGGGTTAAATGTGGATCTGCCATTTGACTCAGTAATCCCACTTCTAGGAATATATCCTAAGAAACCCGAAACACTGAATCAGAAAGAATGTATGCACAGCCTATGTTCATAGTAGCACAATTTACAATAGCTAAGATTTGGAAACAGCCTAAGGGCCCATAGTAAATGAGTGGATAAAAACCTGTGGTACATCTGTACCGTGGAATACTATGCAGGAAAAAAAAAAAAAAGGGGAGGACCTTGCCCCAGCTGGTTTGGCTCAGTGGATAGAGTGTCAGCCTGCACACTGAAGGATTCTGGGTTTGATTCCAGTCAAGGGCACATGCCCAGATTACAGGCTCCATCCCCAATAGGAGATGTATAGGAGGCAGCTAATCAATGATTCTCTCCCTCCTCTCCCTCCCGCTTTGAAATTAATAAAAAATATATTTTAGCTGAAACTGGTTTGGCTCAGTGGATAGAGTGTTGGCCTGTGGACTGAAAGGTCCCAGGTTCTATTCCGCTCAAGGGCATGTACCTTGGTTGCAGGCACATCCCCAGTAGGGGGTGTGCAGGAAGCAGCTGATCGATGTTTCTCTCTCATCAATGTTTCTTTCTTTCTTTCTTTTTTTAATATATTTTATTGATTTTTTACAGAGAGGAAGGGTGAGAGAGAGAGAGCTAGAAACGTCAATGAGAGAGAAACATTGGTCAGCTGCCTCTTGCACACCCCCTACTGGGGATGTGCTCACAACCCAGATACATGCCCTTGACCGGAATCGAACCTGGGACCTTTCAGTCCGCAGACCAACGCTCTACCACTGAGCCAAACCAGTTTCGGCTGTTTCTAACTTTCTATCCCTCTCCCTTCCTCTCTGTAAAAAATCAATTATATATATATATATATATATATATATATATATATATATATATATATTAAAAAAAAATAAACTAGAAAACAGTCACAAGGGAGATGCTACTTTTGGGAAAAAAAAAAAAAAAAGGGGGAGACTCTCTTACCCTTTGAGACAGCATGGAGGGACCTGGAGAGAATCATGCTATGTGAAATAAATCAGTCAGAGAAAGACCAGTATCATATGATCACACTCATATGTGAAATCTAAGTAACAAAATAAACTGATGAAGGGAGTGGATCCAGAGACATGGAAGCATGGAACAGAATGTGGAATCTCAGAGGGAAGGCGGGAAGGATGTGTAGATGGGAAGTAATCAACCAAGGACCTTGTATACATATATGCATGGCCCATGAACACAGACAAAGGGACCCTGAGGGTCTGAGCAAGGTGTGTGTGTGTGTGTGTGTGTGTGTGTGTGTGTGTGCACGCGCGCGCACAGGCTACAAGGAGTCAATGTGGGGGGGAAATGGGGACATATGTAATACTTTCAACAATAAAGAATTATTTTTTAAAAATAAAAATAAATAAAACTACCCATGCCTGGACACCCTTTGGAATGTCAAAAAAATTAAAAAATGCCAGGTCAGAAATCTCCCAATCCTGCCACTAGAGAATAAATTAAGGAAGCCTATGTATGCTCAGGAGAGCTACCAAACCTGGTGTTACTGTTAAAGGATAAAACCTAGACTAATGGGTTTGGGCAATAAAATAATTCTTCTGTTCTTATGACAAACAAAAAACTACCTACACAGTCTAATAAATAGAATGAGGCAGGGACTAACTTTTCCTGGAAGCTAATGAAAGTGTTAGAAACTAAATAAAACAGTAATAATATTCTCAAGACTGAGTTAGGCCCTGTTTAGAGCGTTGTCTCCCATAGCCAAGGTTGTGGCTTAGATCTCTGGTTAGGGCATATATAAAAATCGACCAATGAATGCCAAAATAAGTGAAACAACAAATAGGGTGCTGTCTAAAACCATCAGTAAATTAAAAACATTTTTAAAAGACTGAGTTAAATCATTGCAAAACTGAAATAATAAACACACATAGACAACTTAACTCTTAAAACAACAAAATAAAATAATGGAAGTGAAATTACTTTTTTTTTTAACATATTTTATTGATTTTTTACAGAGAGGAAGGGAGAGAGATAGAGAGCTAGAAACGTCGATGAGAGAGAAACATCGACCAGCTGCCTCTTGCACACCCCCTACTGGGGATGTGCCAGCAACCAACGTACATGCCCTTGACCGGAATCGAAGCTGGGACCTTTCAGTCCGCAGACCGACACTCTACCACCGCTGAGCCAAACCGGTTTCGGCTGAAATTACTCTTCACTTTTAAGAGTATGGCATTTCATAATCATCACTTGTTTATCTGATTGCCAATTTCCCACCCTATAACACTTAGAAATAAAACAGTATCAGGAAGCAGGTTAATTTATAAATACCCCTTACCAAGCACCCACCACCTGTTCCATTAGAATCTCCCACTCAAATTGGAGAGATATATTTCACTGACCCCAGAAGCCCTTTGCAGTTTTACCTCCAGGCCCTTTGCCTGACTGCTAATTCATGTCCTTTGTCCACCTATACTTTGAGGATCCAATTTGAGATCCACTATCACAGAGAATCTTCATCTACTGTCTAGGTTCTATGTGCTTATTCTTAAATTAAACTGTTTTGTATCTTATGCCCTGATTCGCTCATCTAGCTTAGATCACATTCTTATTTGAGTGTTACTACTCTTATACACTTGCGTTTTGTATCTCAAATACATTATGGGCCCTAGCCAATTTGTCTCAGTCCACCTGTGGACTGAAGGGTCTCAGATTTGATTCCAGTCAAGGGCACATACCTCAGTTGCAGACTTAATCCCTGTCCCTGGGATGCATGTGGGAGGCAACCAATGGATGTGTCTCTCCTATACCGTGTTTCCCCGAAAATAAGACATCCTCCGAAAATAAGACCTAGCGCATGGAAAGATAAGACATTTCCTGAAAATAAGACCTAGCGCAACTTTGGGAGAAAAAATAATATAAGACACTGTCTTATTTTCTGGGAAACAGGGTAGATGTTTCTCTCTGTATCTTCCTCCTTTCCACTCTTGGATGAGGATTAACAACAACAAAACAAAAATATCCTTGGGTGAGGATTAACAAGAACACCAAAACAAAATAAATCAAAACCTCAAATACATCATGTGCTTCCTCCTTAAGAATCTAGACACACCATAAGCCAGTGCAACCTTACTGCACAGTGGAATCACTCGAGGGCCTTTAAAAATATGGATAGTATAAATGAGGAACCTTTATGATAATATGAACAATAAAGATTGATTTTAAAAAAAAAATTTTAAAGAGAAAAAAAAAATATGGGTAGTAGGCTCTCAGTCCCAGATATTCTGATTTAATTGAAATGGACTGTGCTCTGGCCATCGGGATATTTAAATGCTTCACGCGGGATTCTAATGTGCAGCAAAGTTTGGGAACTGCTTCCATTGGTATTAGTCCTGCGTGTGTGGATCAAACAGATTAGAATAAGCTGAAAGGCCCCCGCATGGACTAGCTGGGCGATGTTGTAGCACTGGTCTACATAAGATTTCAGGGCAGGGGGTTACAATCTCGTGGCAGGCCCTGCAGACATCACAGACTAGGTGAATTGGAGCCGTGTGTGTCATACTCACGTCGTTGCCATAAGACTCGGCTGGGAGAGAAAGAGCATGTGCCACGGATACCAGTTCCCCGGAAACCTGAGAATAAAAAAAGGAGAAGGAGAGGGAGAGTTCAACGCTAGAGTCAGCTCGACTTCCCCATTCACCCGACCCCAGAGCAGTGCCTCACCGGCTCTTCAGTTTCACAAGTCGCCTCCATGTTGCAGCTAACAAAGCGCCGATCCACTTCCCGGAAATGACTTTACGTGAGCTCTTTGCGTCGTCCGCCGGAAGGGAGGGCCGGGCAAGAATGGCTTTTCTGCGCCTGCGCTTCCCGCACCCTCCCTCGCCGGGAGGCGCTAGTCCCTGGCCCCTCCTCAGCTACCGCACGCAATCTAAAGTGCTCCATTGTTGCTAGGCTGGGCTGTTAGAGAGATCCGAGGCATTTAAATACTCGGTAAATCTATGATCATGGGCAAACCTGAGTTAAAATAACGCAGGTTTCGCTAGCAGCGAATCGAATTCACAGTATTTGTAAATGAAGACACAAACACATACTGGCGCACAGCTGGATAAAGAGCTTAGTAAGCTTGGTCAGTGTCAGTGTGCTTCAGTGGTAGAGCATCAACTTATGAATCAGCAAGTCAGGTCACTTGCCCAGATTGCAGACCAATCCCCTCTATCTCATCATTGATACTGATGTTTCTATCTCCCTCTCCCTTTCTGGAAAAAAAAAATAAATAAATAAATAAATAAAAAAAAAAAAATATATATATATATATATATATAATTTTTTAAGATTGTAGTAATATATGATTTGGAGGAGCAGAAGGGATTTCTGTGCTAAATATTAAGAAGTTAAGACTTCACCCTGCCCTACCTGGATTGGCTGGGTGGATAGAGTTTCTGCAGACTGAAGGGTCCCAGGTTCAATTCCCTAAGGGTACAAACCCGGTTGCAGAGTTGACCCCCAGTGTGGGTATGCAGGAGGCAGCCAATCAATAATTCTCTCTCATCATTGATCTCTCTCTCTCTCTTTCTCCTTCTCTCTCTCTCTCTCTCTCTCTTCCTCTCTGGAATCAATAAAAAAAATTTTAATTTATTTTTTAAAATATATATTTTATTGACTTTGTACACAGAGGAAGGGAGAGAGATAGAAAGTTAGAAACATCGAGGAGAGAGTCATCGATCAGCTGCCTCTTGCAAACCCCCTACTGGGGATTTGCCCGCAACCAAGGTACATTCCCTTGACCGGAATCGAACCGGAGACCCTTAAGTCCCCAAGCCGACACTCTATCCATTGAGCCAAACCAGTCTTGGTGAAAAAAAAATATATATTTTTTAAAGACTTCACTCTAAAAGCAATGGCAAGCTACTGAAGGTCTTTTAAGTAGACAAACCTCACTATCAAACAAGTTCTAAGAAGATCTTTGTGCATGACAAATTGCAGAAGGCAAAATTGGAGGCAGAAAGACCAACTTAAAGGTACTGGGTAATGCAAACCTAAGCCAAGATGCTGGCAGTTAAGGTGAACTTTGAGAATTAATAAGGGAAATGCAATCAATAGGACTTTTTATTTATTTATTTATTTATTTATTTATTTATTTTTAATATATTGTATTGATTTTTTTGCCCTCCTCCCTCCCTCCCACACAACCCCTCCCTCCCCAGAGTTTTATGTCCATTGGTTGTACTTATATGCATGTATAAAAGTCCTTCGGTTGATCTATTATCTCCCCCAGATCTTCCTCCCCTCCCCACTGTAATTTGACAGTCTGCTTATTGATTTACTGTCTCTATATCTATATTTTGGTTCATCAGTTTATAATGTTCTTTATTATCCACAAATGAGTGAGGTCATGTGGTGTTTCTCTTTCATTGATTGGCTTATTTCACTCAGCATGATGTTCTCCAATTCCATCCAGGTTGCTACAAATGATGAGAATTCCTTCTTTTTTATGGCAGCATAGTATTCCATTGTGTGGATGTACCACAGTTTTTGGATCCAATCATCTGCTGACGGGCACCTAGGCTGTTTCCAAATTCTGGCTTCAATAGGACTTTTTAATTTATTGGATATGAAGGGTAATAAAGAATTAGGATTCCAGCCAGGACCGGTTTGGCTCAATGGATAGAGCGTCGGCTTGGGGACTGAAGGGTCTCGGGTTCGATTCCGGTCAAGGGCATGTACCTTGGTTGCGGGAATATCCCCAGTAGGGGGTGTGCAAGAGGCAGCTGATTGATGACTCTCTCTCATCGATGTTTCTAACTCTCTATCTCTCTCCCTTCTTCTCTGTACAAAATCAATAAAATAAATTTTTTTTAAAAATTAGGATTCCAGTATTACTTCAGGTTTGATTCCAGGTTTGAGAATAGAATTCGGGGATGAATGTCATTGAGCTAGAAAACACAACAGGGATGGTGAGTTTAGATTGAGGAGGTGTGTTTGAAGAATCTGGGACACTTACATAGAGTTGACTAGTGAGAGGGAAATCTGATCAGAGATTAAAATCTGACAGCTGGCCGGGACCGGTTTGGCTCAGTGGATAGAGCATCGGCCTGCGGACTGAAAGGTCCCGGGTTCGATTCCGGTTAAGGGCATATACCTTGGTTGTGGGCACATCCCCAGTGGGGGGGGGGGTTGCAAGAGGCAGCTGATCGATTATTCTCTCTCATCGATGTTTCTAACTCTCTATCCCTCTCTCTTCCTCTCGGTGAAAAATCAATAAAATATATTTTTTATTAAAATATATTTTTTTAAAAAATAAAATAAAATCTGACAGCTGATACTTCAGGTTTAATTCAGCTGTCTCAAGGAGACTGCCGAACTCTAAAGACACAAAGAGTCTTAGGCCAAGGACAGAACTATTTATGAAGGAAAAAAAGCAGGGGGGAAAAAGGCTGCAAAAAGAGTTGTCACAGAGATGTCAGCAAAGAACCAAAGGAGAGTCTCACAGAAGCCAAAGAATAAGAGAACTTCCAAGAAGTGGTGAACAGTCTCTAATACTCTGGGTTGAGTACACTAAGTCCAGAAATATTAAGAGGTCATTGACAACTTTAGCAAGAACAGTTTTGGGCCCTGGACAGTATGATTCATTGGTTAGAGTGTCAGCCTGTGCTTGAAAAGGTCTCTGGTTAGATTCTAGGCCAAGGCTGGTACCTGGGTTACAGGTTTGATCCCCATCCTGGTGGAGCAAGAATGAGATATGTTTCATATCACATTTCTCTTCCCCCACCCCTTCCAATTTCTCTAAAACAAACTTAATGGAAAAAAATATCCTCACCGAAGAAACTGGTTTGGCTCAGTGGATAGAGCGTCAGCCTGCGGAATGAAGGGCCCCAGGTTTGATTCGGGTCAAGGGCATATACCTTGGTTGTGGGCACATCCCCAATGGAGGGTGTGCAGGGGGCAGCTGATCAATTTTTCTCTCTCATCGATGTTTCTAACTCTCTGTTCCTTTTTCTTCCTCTCTCTAAAAAAATCAATAATATATATTTTTTTTAAAAGAAGGAAAAAATATCCTCATATGAGGATTAACAAACAAACAAAAAAATTAGTTTTCGTGGAACAGTGAGGACAGAAGTCAGACGACAGTAGTTTCAAAAGGAAGTGAGAATTAAAGGACAGATGACAATGACCATAGAATGTTCTTGCAAAATAAAAAGAAACATGAGAGATGAAAATCAAAACAATAATGCGGTACCATCTCACACCTGTCAGAATGGCCAACATCAACAAATCAACAAATGACAAGTGTTGGCGAGGTTGCAGAGAAAAGGAACCCTCATGCACTGCTGGTGGGAATGCAACTGGTGCAACCACTGTGAAGAACAGTATGGAGTTTCCTCAGAAAAACTGAAAATGGAACACCCATTTGACCCAGTAATCCCACTCCTAGGATTGTATCCTAAGAAACTAGAAACACCAATTAGAGAGGATATATGCACCCCTATGTTCATAGCAGCATAATCTACAATAGCTAGGATTTGGAAACAGCCTTGGTACCCGTCAGCAGATGATTGGATCAAAAAACCATGGTAGATCTACACAATGGAATACTATGCTGCCATGAAAAAGAAGGACTTCTCATCATTTGCAGCAACCTGGATAGAATTGGAGAACATCATGCTGAGTGAAATAAGCCAGTCAATGAAAGAGAAACACCACATGACCTCACTCATTTATGGATAATAAAGAACATTATAAACTGATGAACCAAAAGATAGATATAGAGAAACCAAGATGGTGGCATAAGGTAAACACCTGAATGCAGCCTACCACAAGAAATTTGAATTTAGAACTGAAAAACAGGGGAAACATCACCCTGAAGCACTGGACGGCTTGCTGAGAGGAGGCTCTACCATCTGGGAAGGAGAGAGAAGGCACACTGAACCTCAGGAACTGTGAAGGTGCGGTGAACTGTGCGCGCGAAAAGGCGGCCACCAGACTTCGCTGCTGGCTTGCTTGCGGAGCACAGAGAGTGCGGGCGAAGTTTACTACTGCCTTACTCCCGGTGCACGGAGAGGGCAGACAGCTAATGCGTGGCTGGCTTTCTTGTTCAGGAGGAAAACAGAACCACCTATTGCGCTGATAGATGGCCCCAGACAGGGAGAGGCCAGACTGTCAGGCAGCAGGCAGAGCTCTCTCAGAGATGTGTGAAGCCAGCGGCCATTACTGCTGGACTCAGAAACCAGGTCCTCGTAGGGAGGGGCTGAATAAAGCTTGTCTGCACCACCTGAGACTTCGCCCCATCCAAGCGGAGCACAGAAGCCCTTCCAGTGGCTAGCTTTCTCGTTTGTAGTGAATGGGACTCTCCTTGGGAGTGGCAGACAGGAATCCAAAGCTTGTCTGCGCTTATACCAAAGAGGTGTGAGCACCTGCAACCAATTGTGCGGGATTCAACAATGCTTGTCTGTGCCCCCTTCCCCCCCGAGACTCCACCCCATTCAAGTGGAATACAGAAACCCTCCTAGCTGAGACATTTCTGATCCTCATAGCCAATTGGCTTGGAGATCAACACTTCCCAGTGATACCAACAACTAGCAAGGCTTAACAACAAGACGGCACACACAGCCCACAAAGGGCTACTCCAAGACTGTCCACCTTAGGTACCTGGGAGGCTGACTCACTGAACTATATAGGACACCTTAGCACACAAAGCCACCCTACCAACTCAGGGAAGTTGTGAAAATGCCGAGACAAGGAAACAGATCACAAAC